TTCACATACACCAAAACATTTATAAAAGTTGCTCAGACACACAAAGAGTGCAATGCGCACCACCTGAAGGATGGACATATTTGAAACTCGGACTTGGGGTGGGGGGCAAGGGCAACATACGTAACCTAAACATCTGTACCCCCATAATATGCTGAAATAAAAAAAAAAAGCTGCTCAGGTGCTATGCCACAAAGAAAATCTCAACAAATTTTGAGAAAAAGGATCATTATTAATGTCCTGGTATACACTGTGGAAGATAGGGCATACAATATTTTCCAAACTCATTCAACCATAGGATTACTGCTTCTTCCCATCTACCCATCTCCCCCACTTTTTTCCTTTATAGAATGCTTATTAGCATACTCAGGACTTTTCTTTTTAAAGAATTAATAGTCATCCTTATAAACATTTATTCTTGCTTCTTGGGAGTCTTCTTTTCTTAACCTGTTGGCATTTATTCTACAGGCTTTGGAAGCTTGCAAAGATGCTGGCTTGGTGAAATCCCTTGGAGTATCCAATTTTAACCGCAGGCAGCTGGAGCTCATCCTAAATAAGCCAGGACTCAAACACAGGCCAGTCACCAACCAGGTATAGCTTACCAGGTCCTCCTGGAGGTTTTAGGGAGATCCAATGTAATATTTATGTAACAAATAGAAGCACAGACTAAGTCTTGTGGTTATTCCATATAAATTTCATCATAGGATCCTGAACAGTTTTTTTTTTTTAATTTTTAAGTGTACATAATAGTTGTATATCTTTATAGGGGTACATATGATGTTTTGATACAGGTATTAGATGTGAATTAATCAAATCAGGGTAATTGAGGTATCCATCACCTCCGGTATTTATATTTTCTTTGTATTAGGAACATTTCAATTCTACTCTTTTAGTTATTTTAAAGTACACCCTAAGTAAATGTTGATTATAGTCATTTTACTATGCTATCATATACTGTCCATTCTATCTAACTAGCTAACTATATTTTTGTACCCATTAAGCATCCCCACTTTATCCTCCCCTCCCTGCTACTCTTCCCAGCCTCTGGTAACCGCCATTCTACTCTCTGTCTCCATGAGATCAACTGTTTTTAATATTTAGTTCCCACATATGAGTGAGAACATGCCAGACTTGTCTTTCTGTGCTTGGCTTATTTCACCTAACACAATGTTCTCCAGTTTCATCCATGTCAGTGCAAATGGCAGGACTGCATTCTTTTTTGTGGCTATATAATGTTCTATTGTATATATTTGCCACAATTTCTTTATCCATTCATCTGTTTATAGATACTTACGTTGATTCCATATTTTGGCTATTGTGAATTGTGCTGCAACAAACATGGGAATGCAGGTATCTTTTCAATATACTGATTTCCCCTCCTTTGGATATAAACTCAGCAGTGGGATTGCTGGATCATATGGTAGTTCTACCTATAGTTTTTTAGGAACCTCCATTACTGTTTTCCATAGTGGTTGCACAAATTTACATTCATACCAACAGCGTATGAGGGTTCCCTTTTCTCCACATCCTCGCCAGCATGCGTTTATTGACTGCCTTTTTGATAAAAGCCATTTTAACTGGGGTTAGATGATATCTCATTGTAGCGTTGGTTTGCATTTCTCTGGATGACTAATGATGTTGAGCAGTGACCATTTGTATGTCTTCTTTTCAGAAACGTCTATTCAGATCCTTTGCCCATTTTTAATTGGATTATTTGATTTTTTCCTATCCAGTTATTGAAACTCCTTACACATTCTAGTTATTAATCCTTTGTCAGATGGGTAGTTTGCAAATATTTTCTCTCATTCTGTGGGTTGTCTCTTCACTTTATTGATTGTTTGCTGTGAAGAAGCTTTTTAGTTTGATATAATCTCATTATCCACTTTTGCTTTGGTTGCCTGTGCTTTGGGGGTATTTCTCAAGAAGTCCTTGCCCTGGGCCAGTCTTTCGACTTCTCTCAATCTATGTCATTTAAGAAAAAATATTTGAATGTCCAAATCCAGGAAAAAGTAACTAAGATTTTTTTTTTTT